GTCGGTGCTCACTGAAAGCCTCACCTGCCGCTGGGCTGCCTCCCAGAATCTGCCCTCACCCCCCAGACTATGGGGCCTTTGGACTCAGCTGACAGAGGCCAGTGCCAAGACCAGCACCTCCGGGGGCCCTGCCACCTCTGCTCGCCCACAGCTGACACACAGGTCTGGTCAGGGTGAGGGTCGCCAAGCTACCAGCGGAGCCCTGGATCAAGCATTGTTCTCCAAAGACCAGGACAGGGATCCGCACTGCCAGCATTCCTGGGGTATGAGCCCAGGTGCCTCTCCATCCATTCCAGACCAAATTTGATGCAACCAAAGACCAGCAGGCTGCGGCCAAGCCCTGCCCGGGGCCTCGGGCAGTGTGACCATTCTGCCACCGTACTCGCAGGCAGCACAGGGAGACCCATCAGGGCTGCACCTCGGGCCAACTCAGTTCTCCCTGCGGGGCCAGGAGCATGGGCCCAGCCTCTGAGCCGCCCTCACAGGCTACAGGGCACCACACACCAGCCTGACTCCCAGAGCCTGTCCCCATCTGGTACAGTCACATGCTAGAGTACTTCCTGCCCTACTGGTCAGGGTCCCAGCAGGAGGCAGATGGCACCCAGGGGGGGTAATCTCAGATTAGGAAGTGTGCGCCACCGTGGGCACCTTCAGGAGGGGAGGTGCCTGGCAGAGACTCCAACGCTCCAGGAAGGCCACACACACTGGACACAGAAGGAACAGAGCTGCTCACCAGGCCCACCCCACCCCCTTTCCCTCCTCTGCCCTTTTCTGGAATGCAGGCTGGCAGGTACAGGTCCCTGGGGAGAGTCCCACTGTCCAGTAGCTACAGTTTGCCACTCGGAAGTGGGGGGAAGCCACACCAGCGACCCTCCCAGCCTGCATGCAGCTGGCCGTGAGCAGGGCAGCCCCCGGGGCACTGAGGGAGCAGACAGTTCTTGGGTTTGGCCACAGCTCCTTGGCACCTCTTGTCCATTTTGTGTGCACATTTTTGTCGTGTCGTGAAATAAACACTCCACTGGCAAACAGACTCTTCTTTACTGCAGGACCCAGGGTACCACCAAGGCCCCAATACATAGGCCTTACTCACTAAGCAGTTCATATCCCATTTTTTGTGTCGTTTTGGAGAGACGTTAACATGTGAGCCCAAGGTGCTCCTGGTGCACAGCAAACAAGCCACCAGCAGAGACTGGCCTCGTGAGATTTTTAAATTGCAGACTGTACGTTCACGTCCTCGTGAGAAAGCATCATCTTCCCCCTGAGAGATACTCGGCACAGTTGAGACACCCAGGGACAGCTTAGGGACTTCGTCAGCCCTGACGTCCAGACCCCAGGCACAGTCCCCAACAACAGCTGGCCAGGCTGTGGGGCAGCAGGAGGTACAGGTTCCTTCCCGGCGTAGAGACCTGAGTGGATAGTGCCCAGCATGGAGCTTCTGGAAAAGGGAGGCCCAGCATCAGATTCTGGGCTGGGGCCTGGGATGCCCCGCATCTCTGGTGCCAAGGGCCAGGCAGGAGTGAGGCCCCTGCCAACTGGACCAGTTCAGGGCTCTGCCACGGGGGACCTCTGCAGGACATCCCTGTCCAGCATCACTGGGCCCAGCAGCCCCCTGCGGAAGGTCTGGAGGAAGTCTCGGGCTGCCGCAGGGTAGTTGGGCTGGATGACGTTCACGTCACCTGGGGGAGAGAAGAGGGTCTGGTGAGGAAGGCACCTCCCTACAGGGCAGGCGCAGGATTCAGACACATGCCTCCCTGCCCGTCCTCAGGGACGGAGGGTGGGCACCTGTGGAGCCTGGGCACGAGCACATGTTCTGAAAGAAAACACAAGAGTCTGGGCTGTGGCACCTCGACCTCGGCAGGTTTCAAACCGGTGGGACGCAGGGTATATCCAGCGCCAAGAGGCAGGGCCGCCTTGCCGTCTACAGGCTGAACCGAGAGCCCGCCCCTCTGCAGAACCTGTGTTCCCAAAACAGCCACACGTGCCCACAGTGTCCTCCCCCAGCACCAGGGGCCGCTCGATTGGTTGCTTCCCCAAGCCCAGCCGGAGGCGGATGCCCCCACTTCTCTCTCACCCGTGCCCGTGAGCACTTTCACCTTCTGCGTCTTCCCCAGTCTCACAGCCACCTGCTTCAGCACGCTGGCGATGTCGTCACAGGCGCCGCCCAGGCCATAGTGCCGCACGTACCTACACACAGACCAACAGTCGGGGAGTGGGAGCCAGGAGGGGACATGCTGGGTCACGCCCAGCTCCACAAGGGACCCCTCGTGCATGTGGCCATAAGTGCCCACTGCAGAGCTGCCAATGTCTGTCCTCCCACGTGGCCACAGCCAGCTGTCCTGAGGACCGCTTCCCTGCTGATGCCCGTGGCTGCAATGGCAGGACGACTGCGTCATCCACCCCTTTCCCGAGCAGCCTGTAGCCTGGAGCCCTAGGTCAGCACGGCAGTACCCTGACAGGTGCTCCAAGCCTCTGGGCAGCCGCCCAAGGCAGGATCGCCAGGATTGCCAGCACTCTCTCCAGGGGAGAATGAGCAGGTCTGACTGGTGTTTTCTGTAGCCCACAGACCAGCACAAACCCACTCAGCGCCCGCCTCTGCCGAGAACTGTCCAGTAGCTCTTGTGGACGCCCCGTCCGTGACGCTGGCTCAGGGCCTGATGAGAAAGGCCAGCACAGGGCCGGGTGTGTCTGACCCTGAAGGGTTGAAAGAGACAAGCCTCATCCACAGACAAGCACGTCCGCCACAGGAGCCGGGAGACCCAACCAACACCTCTGCCGGCCACTCGTCCCGGAACCTACGACAGCCGGAGCGACGGTGGGATTTGCCTCCGGGTCCACAGAGCAGGAAGGGGCTCGGCCGAGGGGAGACCCCACCTGGGTATCGGAGTGCCCACCTTGGAGGACATCGCATCCTGAGGAAGGCAGGTCCCAAATCAAACTTGCGGCCCCTCTGTCCTGGGCACCCCACTACACACACACAAGGGCCACCCCGCAGGACACGGCTGCCTGTTCTCCAGAAACACTGGGGGACCGCGGAGGCCCACACAGACTCCCACGGAAATGAAACAAAATAATCAATTTGAAATCCTACTTCCATGCAAAATGGAGTAACGAGAACTGAACTTACGATCCACCTGAAACAACCAGAAACATACAAAACAATGGTTTTCAAGGCACCAGACATCAAGCTACAAAGGATGTAAACCAACAAACACCCAGCCTGGTGCCCGGAGGCCCCAGGGAGCCCCAAGGGTGCCTGGAGTGTGGGCCCAGTAAAAGTCACACGACAGGACCAGAAAGGGCAGAGCTGCCCAGAGAGAGACTTCTGGAAGCCTGCCATCCTCTGTATTTAGCAGAGGAGGGATCTGCACACATGATAAAGGAAGTTCCCCAAAGCCAGAGGCCAGGAAGGACCACCCTGGAGGGCACAGGGGCAGCAGTCAGTGCTCACAGAGAGCCAGGAGCAGACGGAAACCTCATGACCCATGGGGCACAGCGGAGGTGGGGGGGAGGCCCTGCCTCAGTCAGGCCTGGAAGGAACTGTTTCCAGATAATTGTCTCAAGCAAAGCTCAAGGATGTGTCCAGGAACTTAAAGATACCCATCTCCCAAGAAGGTAAAATTTAAAACACCCAGCATCCAAGCAAAAATGATCAGGCGTGCACAGCAGGAAAACAGACTCATCGTGAGGAGGAAATCAGTCAGCTGAAAACGCCCCAGATGTTAGGACTAGCAGAGATGTTAGACCGGTCATCGTGACCACATCCCATGTGGTTACAAAGTTAAGCAGATACACAGAAGATGTAAAGCATGATCCGAATCGGACTAGAGACCCATGCTGTGAGACACACACTGGCGGGCGCTTGCAGTGGGTCAGACACATGGGGTGCAGGCAGGTCGCCCATGGGGCAGCAGCCGTGCCCAGCAGGTCCTGAGGACGGGAGCAGGCAGGAACTGAAAACACAGGAAGAAATAATAGTTGAAAATGTGATAAAAGCTACAAAGCCACAGATCTAAGAACTCAACAAACTATAAGCACAAGAAACGTAAAGAAAACCACACGGGTCCCATTGTCATAAATTGCTCAAAAGTACGATAAAGAGAAAATCCTAAAGGCAGCTGGAGGAACAAAGACAAACGTGACAGATTCCTCATCAGAAACAGCACAGGTGAGAACAGGATGGGACAAAATCTCTCCACTCCTGAAAAAAAACCATCCACCTAGACTTTCACACACAGGGCAAGTATCCTTCCAAAACGAACATGAAATACGGGCATCTCTGGACAAACCTGAGGAGACAAACTCCTCACCAGCAGACCTGCATTACAATAAACGCTACAGGAAATCGTGAGAGAATGGCGACACCAGACAGAACGTGGATCTACACAAAGAAACAAGCGGTGCCCATGAACCATAAAGCCATGGGCAAACAGCTAAGATTACGTCTCACACCTGGGAGTCTCCATATGAGCAAAAACAGTACATCTCAGGCTTACAAAATACACAAAAGCAAGACAGAACAACAAAAGCCCAAAGATCACGAGAAAAATGGAGATGCGCTATCGTAAGGTGCTTATACGCCATGAGACGGGTTCTATCACCTAACCCTCCTCACACCGAGACAACCTCCTCCATACGTTACAGAAGGCAAGCTGACAAAGGGGAGAGAGGGGATAAGAGTATCCCAGTAACCAGAAAAGGACAGAGAGACAGAGAGACAGAGGAAGAGAGAGAAAGATGCAGAGAGAGACAGAGAGAAAGATGGAGACAGCACAGGCAGAGGCAGAGGAGGAGGAAAAGGAACAAAGGACGGATAGGACAAAGAGTAAGATGACAAACGTAACCCCAAGATCAATAATCACATTACATGTAAATGGTCCAATACCCAAAATAAAAGACAGAAATGGTCAGGTTGGATAAGAAACAAGGCCTCACTATCTGTACACAGCCTATGAGAAACACATTTTATTTCATTTTATTTTAAATATTCATTTATTTATTGAGAGAGAGAGAGGGGAGAGGGGAAGAGAATGGCCCGATCCCACGAACTGTGAGACCATGACCTGAGCTGAAATCTAGAGTCGGATACTTAACTGACAGAGTGCCCCAGGCACCCCAAGAAACACGTGTTAAATATAAAGACACAAACACGCTCCATGTGAGCACTCATCAGAAGCTACAGCAGGTGTGTAACTACCAGACAAGGTCGATGTCAGAGCAGGAAGTATTGTGAACATCAAGAAAGGCATTTTGACTGATAAGGGCATCGGTTCAGGGGGACACGATGATCCCCGGGCTGTCCCTGCACCGCACAACAGAGCTCCGAAATGCGTGAAGCAGACGGACAGAGCCGCAAGACAGACAGACCACAGGCAGAGATTTCAGTACCTTCTCTCAACAACCGATGGCAAAAACAGAAGGAAAACCAGCAAAGCAGAAATAATAATAAAGACTGAACGGTAATCAATGAAATAACAGAAAGACAATGGAGAAAGTCAATGAAACCATACCAACAAAACTGACAAAGCTCCGGCCAGGCTGTGGTCCTCGACGCGGTAAAGGACACCCAGCAAACACCCTCTGCTCACGTCTCACTCCTGGGGGAATAACAAGGTGTAAATCTGCACCAGGAAGGAGCGACTGGAGGCACCACACAGAGGAATCTGAAAGCAGTCACACCGAGGACGGGAACCCCGCAAGACAGAGCACAGGACGTCCAAGGAAAGACAGAAAACAGATGGTCACCAGGATGTGGCGAGCGGGCTTTGGGGTCTCGTCTGTAAAATGGGAGCAGGTAAAGGTGGGAAGGAGGAATTACCAAAGAGCACAGAAATTTGAGGCTTTTCTTGACTGTGTAACAAACATATCGACCTGTATGCTGCAAATAACGTGCAGGCTGCTGGTCTAATCGCATCTTACTGCTGCTGTTTTAGACTATGTTTGTCTAGAATGAGAGAGAGAGGCTAGCCACCTGCCCCGGACCCTGCACTCACCCAAAGAGCTGGTGCCTGTTGAGGGTGTAGAGAAGGTAGTCCGCCAGGGTCTCCTCCCCGACAAAGTGGTCTAACACGGTTCCTAGAATCAGGCGACCAGGGTGAGCCTGGCAAACCAGCCTGGCATCTGCACCCCAGGGCCCCTCCCTGTCTCAGCCCGAGGTGCTGCTGAGGAGAAGGCCCGGCCGTGGCCCTTGGACCTGACCCACAGACCTGCCTTGGCTGTAAAATGGGAGAAGGAAGGCACTCTCTCCAAGGAGGGCTGTGAGGGTCAGTGGGGTCACAGCAGTGCCTGGCCCACATGCGTCCTGAGCTAGGACCGCACAGGCTGCTTGAGATGCCCGCTCAGCACAGCATTCAAGAGTCTGCAACATCCAGGCCTAGAAAGGCAGGCACAAAGTGCCAGGGCTGGGGGCCCCGCACCCAGGCGGCAGGAGGGGGCACGAAGGGTGACCCCCAACTCACCACACAGGGCCAGCTTTAGGCCCATCTCCACGCTTTCAATCCGAGGAGCCAGCACCCCAGGAGTGTCCAGCAGGAACATCAGCGGCCGCTCACACACCTGTGGACACAGAGGAAAGTCGGCCGCGCCGCTGCCTCCAGGCTTGCTGCTGGGCGGCCCCTGGAGCTGGGGTGTTAGGCTCCTGAGGCTCCAACGAGGCCTTTCCACCACACTCTTGGCTTCCCCACTGGGTCAGCTCCCACTGAGTCCAGAGCACAAGAGCAACAGGCCCCAAGGGCCCCAATCTTCTCCTCCCAGGGAAAGAAGGGAACGTGTGGACAAGCTGAGCTGAGCTGTGTGACCTTAGGCAGGTGCGTGCTCCCCCTCCACAAAACAGGGGTGACGAGCACGCCTGCCCGCAGCTCTGGTGGAAGGCTGCTGCAGTGCCTGGCGTGCGGCAACACTCGGTGGGGCGGGTGGAGGCAGGGCCTCCCGAGTCCTCAGGAAGCAGCAGGCGCCTGCGTGTGGAGCTCCAGACCCAGCAGCCGAGGACCCTACCTGGATTCTGGACATCACAGCTCTGGTGATCCCAGGCTCGCCGCCCACCCTGGTAGCTTTCCCTGTGGGATGCAAAGGGGCTGTCGGACGTAGTGAACACAGAAGCCTGGCACACAAGCTACAGAAGAAGAAACGACACAGCCAGAAACCCATGAAGGCCCAGATGAGCTCATGCTCAACTCAGCACCAAACCAACAGGGACCGAAACGCACCTCCCTGGTGCCTGGGAGGGTGAGGAGAGGCCAGGGCCTGGCCGTGGAGGTCAGCACAGAGCTGCTGCTTCCCACACGACGGCTTCCTCCCTCCTGGACTTGACCCTGTGCCCCCGACACCGAGCCTACACCCGGCAAATCAGCCCCACAGCACTGATCACGACAGGCCTGTCTGTGAGCACAGCTCCCGACCAAGGGGCCGGATAAACTCAAGAGTAGAGATACACGTACCTATCGGTGGACGAGTGGAAAAGCAAAACGTGGCATCTAAACATAATGGAATATTATTCAGCCTTGAAAGGGAACAAAATTCTGACACAGGCCACAGCACGGATGGACCTTGGGGACATTATGCTCAGTGAAATCAGTCCAACAGAAAAGGACAACTACTGTGTGATTCCATTCATGTGAGGTAGGAGCTCTTCAGAGATCCAGGGACAGAAGGCAGATTAGTGGTGCCCAGGCGGTGGAAGGGGAGAGGGGGCTAGGGGTTATGTTTACAGACTTTCAGTTTGAGACCAAGGAAAAGTCTAGAAATACTGTCATGGTCGCACAGCACTGAATATATTTAATGCCACCAATTTTTTTTTTAAGCCACAATTAGAGAAAAGTAAACTTAAAAAAAAAGATGATTTGGGGCACCGAGGTGGCTCAGTGGGTCCGACTTCAGCTCAGGTCATGATCTCGCAGTTTGTGGGTTCGAGCCCCGCGTCGGGCTCTGTGCTGCCAGCTCAGAGACTGGAGCCTGTGTCAGATTCTGTGTCTCCCTCTCTCTCTGCCCCTCCCCTGCTCACACTCTGTCTCTGTCTCAAAAATAAACATTTTTTAAAAAATTAAAAAACAAAATGACGATCTGACAATTCTCCAACGAGCACCAAAAACACCATCTGTAAAATAACAGTTCAGCGGAGCTCATGGTGTTTGGGTTTGTTAATAAAGAACGCATCCTGGTGTGGAACACGAAGCCAATGTGGGACTTGGTACTGAACTTTAAAATACTTAATGGAAAAGGGTAATGACACAGCGAGTAAGTGTGGGCACGTCTGTGTGACTCCAAATCCAAATGAGCACGAAACAAGGAGATAGGCCCGGGGTCTCCCCAGAATCTCCCCCGAGCAGTTGGGCAGGATGCCGTCTCCCAGCTGGAGCTGCCCCATCAACCGCCTGCTGCTTGTTATCAGGCCCCATCTATCTGGCTACGCCATGAGTATGGGCATCAAAGAGATTTCCGTGAAGGGGAACACAATCACCAACAGGCAGGAAAGTCATCCATGTGTTAAATACCTTAACACTTCATGTTCAGGAGAGAGAACAAAGTAAAATGTGTGACAGGATAGGGGCGCCTGGGTGGCTCAGTCGGTTGAGCGTCCAACTTCGGCTCAGGTCATGATCTCACAATTC